GGGATGGCAGGATGCCAAGTAAGTACAGAACAAAAGAATGTACGTATATGGTAAGTAGGAAAGTCCATGCTGGCGTATGGTAGACGCACAGCCACTATCACTGCCACTCCCGGTCCGGCACAGCCGTAGACACAGAAGTTCAACACAAGATCAGTTTTGCACGGGAATTCGGCAGGACTGGAGCGTACCGACATCAAATCCGACGGGCGTAGCGTTCCTCGGAATGCTCCGTACGGCATGCAGAAGGGACGTTCTGTCCGGTCTATGTGGTTACCGCGCGAGCGAAGCACGGACACGGCGGGGATACAAACAGCTCATAAGCTGTCCCTTGTTTGGCGGTACACCATACACTTGCAGCGAGAAGCTGACGGATCGAACCAAGGCTCAATGTTGTAACGTGGGCTATCGACGGACACGAGAAGGCGGCGGTGGGGTTGTCAGGTGTTATTAGCAAGGCGCGAGGCGCAGAGAATCCCGTTGTCAATCCAGGGACTCGGAGATCGCGAGAGTCATCCCGAGTGGAGGCCGTCCCAGGGCGGTGGCGAAATGACCGCAGCAGAAGGATAACCCCGTGTTCCTGCCGTATTCGAGCTGTCGCCCAGGTACGCGGTAACGGCCCTCTCCGAGACGAGAACACATGGGAACTGCTTCGGTGGGCAATGGCGGTTTTGCGGTGGCTGATCGGTGAGCGGCCAGGACCCTGCCTTGGACAGTGTGTAACCCGTACTGAGCGGTTTCTTTAGACATCATAAGGAGCCTGATACATGTCTGTAGCACACGGCTAGTCGAATTAAACAGCGAGGGAGTATGCGAGGACCAGCCGCGAGCACATGGGAGGAGGAAGAGAGGTGTCTGGAATAAAGTTCGATATCCGGGTTGGCGCCAAGTCCGCGAGGGCGGGCGCTCCGAACCACACCGCTTGCCAAATCTGGCACAGCGCTCACTTAGACCGAGTGCCGGTGCCCTCAGGCTCGCTTCGCATCTCCGCCATCCGCACGCTGCACCATTCGCTCCAAATTGACTGCGTGGTGCCGTGCACGAGCGGCTGGATATCTCGGACCCTGGCACACTCAGATCTGTCTCGGGCGGCCGCGGCATCACCGCCAATCTCTCTGACTGTATGGTGGCACACTCTGAGACCTGGGCGGCCGGTGCACACTTCGAGCTTGCATGGCTGCAATCTGGCCAGGGGTTCCCGTGCGGACGTGTTTCTATTGGATTACAAAGGAAACGTGTATCGATTGGTGATCGTATTTGTAACGGACCAGAAAGCAATCGGGCGGTGTTCTAGACAGGGTCGGCCAAGAGGCAGGCAGAATCAGATTTTTCGACACTGACCTCTCACTTTCCAGGGACCCCGGGAACCGGGTGCCCCCCCTCCCCCCCCCCTTTACCGAGCTAAGCGGGCTGATATGACGCAATACGTCCAGAGCGCGCTATGAAGAGTACGCGCGACGCGTCGCGCGGCACGATACCTAAAAGGTCTGCGCGACGCGCGTACGAGCCTGCACAGTGAAAGAAATAGCGGAGGGCCACAAAAATCAACGCGGAAGCATTATGATTAGGACAGGTGTAACATCGACTACGAGGATGCACTAAAGCTATATGAACTTGAACTGTAGATTATTCGCATGAGGTGTATACTATGTGCATCTAGTGCCCGATGTTAATGCATGACGCGCGGCGGTCTTGTTGAAGGAATTGCACTTACATTACTACGCTGAGAGCTGCTCGCGGAAGCGCTTCTGATATGGTAGCTTACGGTGGCATGGTCCGCCGTACGCGCTTGCCTTGCGCACTAAGATCAGGCTCGGACGGCCGTTTGCGCCCGCCGCGCGACGTGCGCGTTGAGTCTCCCTCCTCTAAACGATGGCAAAGTGAATATCGAGGAGCGCAGAGACAGTAGCAGTTTACTTACCTTGCGTACTCGGAGCTTGAGACAAGATGTCAGTGCGCTTGAGGGCCGGGATGACACCCTCCGGAATACCGAGGGCCTTCTCCTCCTCATGTGTGATATCCATGACACATAGAAGTTGTGGTAGAAGTGTTCCTTCCTCGAAACCGTCAATGGAGTAGCCGGGATGTTGCATGCGGACGTGCTGAGGCATGTTGTACTTCCATACCGCCGTAAAAAGCTTGTCTGGGGTGCTCTGAGTACAGCCAGGGACGGGGCAGAGGATGGGAGTGTTCGTGCAAGGCATCGTCTGCGTAGACTTGAGGCTGCTCTTGTACTGGAATGCGTAGAAGTGGGGGCAATCGCTACGAGGCTGGGGAGACCTTCCAGCAGTGAGGTAAAGCTGCGAGCACATAGAGATGCCCGATCGTCCACAGAACCCGCAAGGCATCTCGGAGCCAACCTAGTAAGCAATACCAGAACACAATCAGTAACATCGTGCTCGGAAACAGCAGCCGCACCTACTGGAATACCAGCAAGCCCTTCTTCGACATGGCGCATGGCCTTCAGGATATGGCCGCCGACATGGTTGCGTGCGAGACGTCGATCCATGACAGTGAGACAGTGATAGCACCGGAACTTGTCGTCTGAAAGCTTTTGCGTAGCGGCCATAAGTCGTTGCGAAGCCTCTTCGCAGTAAAACGTTGGATTTCCTAGATAAGGGTACATATATACGGAGTAGTGGCTGTATCAGGCGAAGTTGAACATGAACAGTAAAGGCGACGGCCACGCACCTTCGGAATCCACATACGGGAACCTCTCGCTCGTTCCGAAGTTAGGAAGGTTGAACAGTGCATCGTGCCTCTTGATTTTGTCCCAGACATTGGTCGTGAGGACCGTGAGTTCCGCATCGGTAAGCTCCCATGTCAGCCCTGACACATTAAGACTGGGTAGCTGTTGCAGCGGGAGTCTATCCTTGACGTCGATGATGTGGGGTTTGACAGGTTCGCATACGTGGCTCGGAAGACGTATGACCAAGGTTTTCCGTGAAGCTTTCGATGTCGATGAGGGTGTGGGGTGTTTGCCAGGGAGAGCTAGTTGTGCAAAGGTCCCGTCCCAGATCCAGGAGTATGGTGTATCGAGAGAGTCGGGGTCTCGGGGGAGGGTGGAGCTCGAGTATCGTGTGCAAGGGACCGACCGCAGTGAAAGAAGCTGTCCAGAAAGTTTGATGCCAGAAGCAACATGTGCGAGATTCCGATTCAGGACTCGTTCGACGCGGGTGCCCTTTTCCTCGATAATGATTGTCTTCATGACAGCGAGACACGCAAGCTTGCTATCACAGCGAACGAGAGTCACGAAGAGGTCGCCCAGCATGTACGCATCATTTCCGAGCATGTCCGCGGAATCGTAGTTTGTCCGTACCTTCCAGTCCATAGTATACCCCCGAACACGGAAGACGCGTTCGTGCGACTTCCGAACATAGTCGGGGGTGATAACCAGACGGCAAATCGATGCCTTGTGTAGCTTCCTTCCCTTATACTCAATCCAGTAGTCGACGGGACTCCCGGACAGGTTCGGAGCTCGTGGAAGTTGCTGGTAATCCTCTTCTTCGATAGCTTCTTCGAGGTCTATCCCATCCGTCCCTGTGTCTGGATCGTCCTCGCCGCCACCAGTATCATTAGCAGCGGAATCAGGTAAGGACTCGGATGCGAGACTTTCCAGCTGTGCTTCAGACAACTCATACATGTCGTAGGAGGTGTCGCCCGGCCCAGGGTCAAGATTTACAGGACACGGGCCCACCGATGGGTGCGGGGAGCTCTGCGGTATAACATGGCTGTAGAGAGGCTAATGGTGAACAGGCATCGCGCAGAAATGCTTCAATAAACTCACAGTGATGAAGTACCACTGGACTGCGGGGCCGTCGGAGCAGTATCCGACACCGGCACTTGCCAACGGGTTGACGGGGGCGGATTCGCATCTGTCCGGGCTCCCTGAGCTGCGACAGCAGGGGATCCAGTCGGGTTTGACAAGTGAGGAGACGTGCAGGGCTCAGGCCGGAGCTCACTGGGTTCAAGAGAGCGATCTTCGGAGTCGAGAGCTTTTCCAGGGTACTTGTTCCCTCCGTGTGGCCGAAGGAGATCGCAAGCAGGGTTCTCCTTGAAGAAGCGTGGAAAGTCCAGAGAGACACCAGGTAAAACACGGTCGAGCAGTTGCTGAGCGGCAACCTGGCCTTCACGCCATGCATTGTCAAGACTGACCTGGTCTGCGACAGCATCTCCTCTCCAAGACTCCGGATTCAGATGATCCAGGTGTTCCGTACGAGTAATCTTGAGGCGACGGAACCCAGGGTCAAGGGAAGGGTGTCGGGTGAAGATTGCGTCGAGATCCATGGCTGCTGCAAGACGATCTACTAGTTGCTTGAAGGAGAAGTTGGGACTGTGTCCTCCCTGCATCCGCACCCGTCCAAAGAGATTTTCGAGTCGATCGTCGCCAAGAAGGAACAGGTAAAAGGGCTGTGATCCGTCCAACTCCTGCTGCTTTGCGATGCAGAAGAATGCGTTCTTGACCGTCATCTGCATATCACTATACAGCTGATTCGGCATAAAATTGACCCCGTGAATGCGGAAGAGCGCGAACGCTGCATGAGCGAACTTGCTAAGCGAGACCAGCTGCTGCGAGAGGGACCAGTCGGGGCGAACAAACGCATCCATGAATGACATGAATATATCGCCGACAAGACCGACAAGCTGAGCTTCCTGCAGCTCGCCCGGGCTACAACCGTCGGTAGGTAGGTCCTTGATCTCCTCGACCGCCTCGAGGAATTCGATCGCGCGAGGTACGTCCTGGGAGTCCGCGGGGTTCATGAGCCGCAAGACGTCGGCTTCAACACGATCTCCACGCCGGAGATGTCGTTTGAACGTCTCATGGTTGATTACGGTGGTCCCGATGGTGATACCTTCGAGAGTGCGGAACAGCCTACTGATACCTAAATTGGGTTTCATTGTTAGCTCGCTGTATAGTACCAAAAACCACTATATGTCGGACGTACGTTTGAGCTCGTGCTTCCAGTCAAAATCTGCCGTGATATTACTATGCCCAACAAAGCGGTTCAGACCCGTAAGGCCGCCAACAAGCGGGTAAAGAGAATGGCCATCGGTTACCTCTTGCTCCATGAACAGATCGTAAACCATTGCTCGGCGACCTGCATCACCATCGGACGCAAAGCTCCAAACATCGCCGAGAAGGTCGCGTAGCCCTGCTTCCTCGAGTGCTCGGAGAACCTTCGTTACGATCGCGGCAGAGCCGTGTGGTGATTCCGTCTTGCAGGTCGGGGACATGAGGATGGGGAAAGCGCCACGTAACCGTGAAGAGTGTGCAAAGGACCCGACCGCAATCACAGACGCTTCCTTCCCATAGTGAAGGGTCCCGTCATGTAAGCGATGAGCCATATTGACCGCGTTGTCGAAGGTAGACAGTCGTGTATTCACTGACGCCGAGTGCTCTCGGCAGAAGCCGCCAACAGAGTCCGTGTGAGGGAAGTATTCCGACTTCTCCTCGACGCTAATCTCATCCATCATGAGCGACGAACCGGTGCGTGCAGGATGGCGTGCCGTATTCAGCTCCGACATCTTGGGGTCGAAGATCTGCTTGATATTGAACAGTGCCTCCTCGACCTTCGGAGTCCCAAGAGATGGCATGAGCTTCGTGAAGACCTTCGCGCGACGGAGAGAACGAATGGAGGGGAGGGAGATATAATGGCTCATCGAGTAGAGGAGTTTCCGGCCGCCCAGACGGAGGACGAGAAGAGACATATCGTGATCATCTGCACCATATCCTCGAGCATGATACACGTTGTTCAAGCTTTCCTCGACGCGATTAACGATCGCACCTATGCCTGCCTTCTCCTTGATGCACTGGTGGACGAGCTGGCGGAGCCGAGGAATATCCCCCGTCGCAATGGCCATGATGAAGCGGTGATGCTCGTCGAGTTTCCCCAAGACTGACGCGCACTTCCGAAGCAGGTTCAAGCTCTACCATAATGTCAAAAATCAGTGCACTTTCGAGTTATCGGCTTCGCAGTCACATACCATAAGCTTCCACTTCTGTAAAGTATGATCGCGGTCACGCAGAAGCTCGCGGAGCTGCTCGTGGGTGAGATACATGTGGTTTGTATGAGGTAGAGCATGACGGGCCATGGAAGCCAGACGGGATACCTTCTCGCGCACTCCTTGACAGTGAAGGCAAGCCTCTTGTCCCGGATCCAGTGCGTGGACGCAGTCGTCAGAGCGGACCCAGAACTCAGATCCATTCTTCTCCACAGAGCAGAATGTATACCCGAGGCCTGCCATGCTGAATTCATGCCGCTGAAAGGGGTAGGTCTCGAAGAATTTGCCCGCCGGCCACTTGAGAGGAAGGCCAGGGCAGCCGGGCGGCGGGCAGGGTAATGAGCGTGGAGGTACAGGCACAGATGTGGATACGGAGTGCAGAGAGAAACTTCCGGAGACGGAACGGGAGATGTTGCCAGAGCTAATTGACGGACTTGGGCTTGACGGCGGACTTGTCTCCGTCTCTGACCTGCAAAAACATCCTAGTACTGAGCAAGCGGATACAATCAAACTTGAAAGAGTCGGCGTACCCGCTATGATTGGCATGTATGCCATACCTACGAGGGGTGATCACCTCGAACTGAACAGCCGTAGGTCGCGGCGGTGTCGCGGCGTTGGACGCAGCCTGGGTGAATGCCGATGAAGAGCTTGCTGATTGAGTCCGGTCTTCGAGGAAGGACGTCCACGAAATAGAAGGCGGCTGCGGAGGGAAGATACGAGTGCGCATCTCACGTGCTTTTCGGAGCTCGTCCTCCACTGTCGCTCTGTTGCGCGATTGCTGCTTCCTACACCGTTGGCCGCCCATGTGATACCCTAGTCCATCGGTGGACTTTGTCTTGCTGTTGCCAGTATTCACGACGGAGAAGCACTTTGGACATTGGACATGCCAGGTGCCCTCCATCCAAACCCAGTTAAGGGTGTGCACCGGCGGAGGAAGAGGTCGAGGATCGAGGCTGGGGGCATCGGGGTCCAAGAGCAATCCGGAAGCCAGCCCCGGGGGTTCGCCATGGTTCTCAAAGTCAAAAGAGGCCCCGCCTGAAGCAAAACTAGAGCTCGCGGCTTCTTGCTCGAAAGCCGCAGCAATTTGGAAGCTGAGATCGCAGCGTCCAGAGGGGTCCTCCAAGCCAAAGCTTGCATCCGCTGATGCGGGGCTAGTTTGGACGTCTCGGGTCGAGAGAGACGGTAGGCCAATTTCCAGATCCGCAAAAATACCGCCGCACGTCGGCGAATCAGAAGGGACGCATGCTTGAGGAGGATTTTCCCCAGCAAAGCAGCCGGGGTAGTCGAAGGCAGGCACACTGCTAGTGCCGTACCCCGCCGCCATGTGCGGTAGCCCCGGAGCAACAGCAGAAAGCAAGCACGTTTTTGAGGGTCACCAGAGAGTGTGTAAGGAATGAGAATGAGGTAAAAAAGGAGTGTATTGTCGTCGCAGACTATGTGCGAGACTGACAGTGCGAAACGAGCCAGGAGCGGGAGTCGCGCAGGCGACGCGCCTTGAGCAGCAGGGCGCCTATAGCGCGTCAGTCATGTGCTTCGAGTGCGCGCGCGTCCCCGCACTCTTACTCAACTACACCTTCCACTAGGCATTGTATTCTCTTAAAATTTGCACAGATACACGCATACATATACAGGTAGCTCTTCTACACCTCAGTGAGTCTGTATCTGAGCTTGAGTAAAAGTTTCGCGGCCTCTCGCTCACAAAACGCGAAACCGGACCCTGGACACCGGGAAAGGGGGGGGGTCCCTTCGAGGTCCGTATCCCCGATTCAGATCTTGCCTGCCTCTTGGGGTCGGCAGAGGAAGAGGGTCGAGGCGAGCACCGGAGTATTTGGTGCCCTTCCGAACCCTATTCCACTGCCGGTCACATCTAGGTGTTGGCCGCAGGCGGGCGGGGATCTGCAGCCACTTGGAAAGCGGGGATTCAATAATTGTGACCGTGAATGAGGGCATAAACTGCAAGCGACCGGGATTGAGCTGAAAATGGCACACTGAAACTGATGATATGACTGAACAATAAGCCGCCTTGAAGCCTGGACTCAGGCCGCCTTTCACACACAGACTGATAGATTGTAAACGTAAATTACGTGGGTGAAAGCTACCGACCAATCGTGCGATGACATTATGCTGTTCTCCCGGCCTCTTCTCCCGCAAGCTACCCTTTGCGCTGCTCACCGTCTCCCCATTCTCCCCCGTCGCCCCTCCGCATGTCCGCAGCACCACATCGGAGCGTCGACCTCTCCACCTCCGCTCGACGTGCGGTGCACAACACCTCCAATCGACACCGCACCCCCACACCGCCCACCCTGCCCCTCGCTGCCTCTCCGCCTGGTGACCGCACCGCGACACACCTGGGGTGATCACGCCCCTGCAATCCTGTCCACGCACAATGCAGGTACGCGGCGTGTGCAGGACACCTTTTGTGGCTGTGACTGACATCTTGGAATCGTCAGATGCAGCATTCCCACATGGCGGCGACGAGCTCACTTGCCAGGACGTCGCAGCGTCGACTGAGGTGCTCTCGTGCTCGCACCCGTCAAGACGTCGCTTCGAGGCGACCGTGGACACCCTGAATATGCCCAGATCCGGCATACGAGGAAGCAAGAGGTGAGTACGGATGGTGCCAGCAAGACGCCGGCCCCAGCGAGCTCATTGTGCCATCCCCAGACTCGACTCGAGATCACCAGAGGGGGAGACAGGTGAGGAGCTCCGAGCAGCACCGAGGATCGAGCTACACAGCGGACACGGTGGGATACTCGCGGTGGACGCATTCGCCGAGTGGTGCGCACGCGCGACGGCGCACCGGGCCGTGAGCGTGCGCAGACGACACCGGACTTTGCGGGGTCCCAATCGAGGTGAGTGATTTACAGTTCGCGGTGTATGGCACGAGAGAGGGCGAGGAGCGTCGCACATGATACCGCCGTGCGACGGCGATGGCGACGTTTGCATCGTGTAGCACGCACGGAGGATGGCGCGGAGGCGTCGGTGGCAGGAGCACGGGCAGGTGCTGTGGGGAATGTCGCAGCAGGGCGAGTG